TTCAAGATTTTTATTTTTGATATTTTGAAGCTCATTTTCGCTTGAAAAATACCTTAATAAATCTCATAACTAGTCAAGCTTATTTTTAATCATCTTGAACCATTCAAACAAATTTCAAATGATAAAACAAAGTTGTTCAAGTGGTCAAATTGGCATTAAAAACAAGGGAATCAAAAAGTCAACTCTTAATCCCACATTTTTTTAAAAAGGCTATTAAGATGGGTAAATATGTTTAAAATCATATTTAAGCTCTTCAAACCATTTAGAAAAGTTTTATATCACACTTTAAAAAAAATCTAAATGGTTTTTATGCCCATAATTGTTCAAAAATAAAATTTAACTTTTTGAGCTTTAAAATCCTTTGAAACTTATAAGTAAGACTATGAAAAATTAAAACTAATGCAAGTTCTCAAGTTTTCTTTGTTTGAGCAAGTTTAAATTATTGAATTCAAGGTATTCAAATTCATTTTATAATTAAGAACTTATTAAAACAAAATTTCATATTTTAAGACTTGACTCTAGCAAAAATTATTTTCAAAGTAAAACATAAAGTCTCAAAATCATTAAGCTTTAAGAGCTCCCCTAAGTTTGTGCATAAATATACAAACAATTACGCACATAAATAATCACACCAAGCATCAATAAAAAATTCATCAACAAAATTATGCTCAAGCAATTTAACACCATAATCAATTTCAACAAGCATTTCGAACATTTTTAAGAGCAAAATAAATGCATATTCAATTCAAGCTCACATTTTCTCAAGATTATGCAACATATGTCTTGTAATCAATGTCAATCAAATTTTGCATAATCAATCAAGCATTCAAATTTCATCAAGAATAGATAACCAAATTAAATTTATAAAAGTTTAGTGGTTACCCATTTTCATTATGTGTCTAGAGTTCTAATCTTAAGTATCACATTATAGCTTTTTACTTTAGCACACCTACAAGAGACAATCTCATTTGATTTTTGGTACCCAAATTGCTTTGAGTCCTTGAGAGCTAGTGATCAAGTCTATAGTTTCTTTTAGAACCCATACTTACCAAATTCTAAATAGAGCTTTTCTCTTTATAGGATAAGTATGTATAGTATGACCATGAAAATTATAAAAACTACATTTAATCATTTTAGCACTTAAACTTTTATCTAAAAACTCTTGTTTTTCATTCATCAAAACATCAAATTTTCTTTTCAAATCAAAAATTTTTTTTCTAAAAATTCATTTCTACTTTGAGAGGTTTCAAAATCTATTTTCAATTTTTCATTTTTTTTCCAAAACTTTTTTTGCATTCATAAAATACTCATTCTCTACATTCAACTTTGAAATCTTTTTCTTATATTTCCTCTTTATTGATTCACATTCAACATATAGCACATATCTTGCAATTCATCAAAAGCATATAAATTTGAATCAATAGAATTAGAGGTTACCTCTAAATCTTCAAAAGCCATGAGACATGATGCATTTCAGTTGGATTGTTGTCTTTCATATATTTTATCCAACTTCTCCCATACTCATTTGAGGTTGAACACTTTGATACCAAATTGAATTTGTGGGAGTTAAGAGCTTCATATAGTAAGCACTTGGCCTTAGCATCATCTATCACTTGCCTCATGTAGTTTGCATCATTTAAAGGAATTTCAAACCTTTTTTCAACCATATTCCAAGCTCTAAATTTTTGGGCTATTATGAACATCTTCATCTTTTTTTTTCATTCACAAAATTCAAATTTATCAAACATAGAAGCTTTGAGGACTTTTTCACCATCTTGGAACCTAAATTAAGCCATAGGATCTTTATTCAAGGTGGTTAAACCTAAAAAAAAAATATCAAAGCTTTGATACCAATTGCTAGCTTTATAGGTGAGATGGTAATCCAAGAGAGGGTGAATTGAATTTCTCCAAATTCTTCCTAAATAATGATTTCAAAGTAATTGAATGAAAAATTAAAAACAATATCAAAATATGTGCAAATAACAACAAATTGATAATCTTAAACCAAATACAAGGTAAAGAGATAGGGATAAAGAAATCAAACACTAACATATATAGATGTTTGATCTTTTTTCACAAGGCATCTACGTCATCTCTTCTTAATTGTCCACATTAAGGCTTCAATCCATTAATCTTGAATTGAAATTGTGACCTTATCTTTTTTTTCTAAGGCTTAAGATAGAAACCTTACACACTTTACTTTTAGGCTAAGTAGCAACCTCTTAATTTCACAAATTCAAAAGGATACCTCACCTCTTGATTACAAAATCACTTAATAAAAATGCAAACTAAAATCACCTCTCAAAGGTTAAGTGTTTGCCTAATGTAGTACAAAAAAATTTGATAAATGAACAACAACAATGATTTGGATACAACAAATACAAAGATATAGACTTTAAAGTTCTAAAATTCTAAAGTTCTAAAATTCTTAATTTCTTTGAGAGAATGAATATATGACTTATTTGATCTTGCTCTCTTGATTCATCAACCTTTTTGGTGTTTTGGAGTGGCCAATATATAAAGAAATTGAATAGCTAGCCATTGAAGGTGCTTGGGAGAAGAAAATAACCATTGAAAGCATGAGAAACTAGCCATTGAAGTTGTTCCAAGGCATACCTAATCGATCCCTTCCATAAGGGGATCAATTGGTTCACTTTTACTGCCCATTTCATGCTTAGAAAAGAAGACCTGATCGATCTCTTCCATAAGAGGATCGATTGGTTCATGTTTTGAACTAATTCTCGACTTTAAAAATGCCTACTCGATCGATCCCTTCCTTAAGGGGATCGATCGCTTCAAGGGGGTGATTGATCCCCTCTATAGAGTGATCGATCCCTTTTTGCCATTTCAAAACAAAGTATGCTTTTAGGAGAAAAGTCAACTGATCCCTTCCCTGAAGGGATCGATCTTGTCCATCTAGGCAAATATCTCTTATTTTATACTCTACTCACTAATTTGATCATATCTTGAGTATTACAAATCTAAATCACAAACCATTTAAAGATTTAGAAACTAGACTTAAAGGGCTTTCTATCCATATAAAATTCATCACCTAATTCATTGTGTATGAATTATAGTGAATTTTCAAAACTATCTATCGTGTAGTTTTTAGACAACTACAAAGTGTCTAGTAAAAATTCAAAATCTTTTCTTACAAAATTTGGAATTTGATTTTGTTTGATCCATTAGAAAGTAAACTCAAAGAGCTTTCCAACCATATAAAATTCAAATATTAAAACTTTGTGAATTAATATAGAAAAATAAAAAAAGTTCAATGTTGGAAAAACTTTGCTATTGTAAAACAACTTTCTTAAGTTAATCTATTTCTCAATACCAATATTATTAAAATTATATTAAGTCCAAAATGAATAAATTCACTTTAAAAACAACAATTGAACTTTCATTTAAGCTCAAATAAATAATCTTTAAAGATAGATTTGGTTTGAGAAATATGAAATCAAGAAAAGTTTGTTTAAACTTTGAAAATCATATTATTTATTTAGTACTATAATATAAAACTTAAGAACATGTAATAAATAAATCTTTTTCAAAATCTTGATCAAGATTATTTAGCTTAATGTTTTGTTATTTCAAAATAAAGATCAATTCAAGGCTAACACTCTCAATCATTATTCTCCTATTTGGTGCCATTTTCTTCATAGAAGCTCAACAAAATACAACAAAAAACTTTAAAAATATTGCTTACTGACAAAAAATTTTGCAAGAACACAGAAAGATAATCAATAGTAGAATGACACCTAAGCAACAAGTTCTCTTGTAAGCAAAATGTAGAAGTGAAAATTTTTCTAACTTTCCTTTATATACCTACCCAAATGAAACGACATTAATTGGAACCATGAAACAATAACAATTTGGACTATTTCAACCACTTGCAAAACGATCCTAATTTATCTCCCATTAAACCCAACTCTTCGGTTGCCTATTTTTTCAAAAAAAGACACATGCATTCTTTTTTAATGAACTGATACAATTTAAAATTTAAACTAATTAATTGTGCTTGATTATTCTTAAAGCCCATTGCATCACGTGTCTTGAACAATCTCACCATTAAAAAACATGGGTGCGTGTCTTACATTGCACCAATAGACTTGCTACATGTATGCGTGTTCAACTTAGTGAACTAGTATTTCACACAAAAATTTTCCTAATTCCTTACCTATTGCTCATTGTACCTTGACAAAGCATACAGCTTGCCAAAAAACATCCCTCGCCTTATTGGGACACTCCATCAACACAGTTCGCTAAATGAGCACTATTTGCCTCATAAGGACTTGTCATCAACAAAGCTCACCAATTGAGCACTTTTCATCTTGTAAGGACACGTTATTAACACAACTTGCCAACAGAGCACCCTTTACCTTGCAGTGACATGTTATAACACAACTTGCCAACAGAGCACCCTTCACCTTGCAGTGACATGTTATCAAAATAGCTTGCTAAACCAACCTTACTTTCTTGCTAATTGCATTTCTCATACTCTTATCAATGGTTTGGGGGCAATATCTTCATAATACCTTTTAGATCTATGAGACAATTATTATACTTATTTACTTAGTCAACAAAATCAACTCTCTAAACTGCTTAGCCAACTCTTACCTAATTATTATGCTACCAATAATAAGGGTCGACATCAAAATCCCTTGTTATAGAATTGGTTCGCCCTTCGTTAAGGAGGGGCTCATTAAGGAAAAAATTAAGAATTTTCTATTATAGTATATTTTTATAAAATCTTGATTCCTAATTTAAAATAAATTTTTTTTGGGTTTTGAATTGATTTACTATATTAGTTTTTGTGCATAAAGATTTAAAAATATAGGAAAATAAAATTGAAGAGAAAATTTTAATTTCTTTTTGTAAATTTAAATATTTAAATTTTATGTAGATTTATTGTCAAGGATTTCAAAATTTTTTAATTAATTAATTTATTAATTTGGTGTGATTTATTGATAAGCTATAAATTCAAAGCCGTGCACTAAATATTAAGCCATTTAAACAATAACAACAAATAAAGAAATAAATAAAAACACAAGGAAATCGGTCACTCCGTCCCTTTGAGAAAGTAGAAGAAATCCAGCGCCTCATCCACCCAAAGCCAAATCCCCCCAAAACCCGCTCTAACCCCAACGCCTCCGCCCTCCCTTCCTTTCTCTCTTTTATTATCAGTTTTTTTCGTTGTCATTCAAGTTTCTAGGGCCTTATTCAAAAATCGACAGCCGCAGAAGACATGGCTTCTCACGCCGCCAATCTGTGGGTGCTGCTGGGGTTGGGCTTAGCTGGAATCCTTCTAATGACCAAGAGGCTTAAGAAAACTATTAAAGCTGATTTTGGAGCTTTTATTCAAAAGCTAGAGCTGCTTCCACCGCCTCAGCCTGCTCCTCCCAAAGCTCCCCACCCTCTCGCCGGTCTCACTTTCGCTGTCTCTGACATGTATGCTGTTTTCCTTTTATTTAATATATATATATATATATATATATATATATTTATATGAGTCTGCTGTGGCTTTTGAAGTCGAGAAGTGTTGGGACTGTTTTATGGTCGCTGCTACTTTAATTGCAGCATTTAATTTTGTAGATGGGAGAAATGGTTATGGTTAATGGTCAATATGCATGGCATATTTATTCTTTAGGGAAAGAAAGAAAGAAAGCCAACATATATATGGGGTTTTGTCGCTTCCATTAAGTGTCAATTGCAAAAATGGAGTGGCATGCGAAGTTAGATTTAGTTGAGTGAATATACTCTTTCTTTTTCGGCCATTAATAATAATCCAGTTATGTAAAGCTGGTATTTGAATAAGAAATAGTAGCTCTATTTCTATAAGACAAACACTGTCAATCATATTCATGGACCTTAATAAGGATTTGGTTGTTGCTTTTTCTACATGTTCTTGTGTTTTTGGAAGCCAAATGTATACAGCATCGTTTGGAATCAAAAGAAGTAATGTTTTTGAATAATTAAAAATGAAAATTTTAGTTATTTATTTAATAAAATAAAATATTAATTTCTATGAATAATGAGATGCATGAGTTTATGTCTATATAGAATAGTTATGTTTGAATGTTTGTTTCATTTTAGTTTAGCAACTTGGAAGGAAGCAAAAACCAAAAGTAATAACCTAATTTTTTTCTGCTATTTTGAATATTTTGGAATTCCTTGTATTTCTCAGTTATTTATTTCAAAGGATTGATTTGAAGTACGGAAAGGAATTCATGAATTTTGTGATATTGACAGCCCCATTATTTTTTGAAAGCTTATGCAAGATTTTGAGGCAGGATTTTGCCTTAGGACTTTCTGCTTGCATATGCTCTGATTGGCTTGTGATTTTTCATTCTTCTTTTTCTCTCCTTTCGAGGGAAATGTTTAAAGAGTTGAGTAGGAAAATTCAATTGAACCTTTCAACTTTCTGGTATTCTTTTGTGCTTTTGGCATTTAAGTTTTCAATTTAGATTATTTATGTTATACATGTTCAGATTGACATGGTTTTGCTCTTTCATATGCTCAACATCATGTCTGTCACTATCTGTTTGGCTTCTAATAGTTGATATTTATATCATGCTTATCAGATTTGACATTGAAGGATATGTGACTGGGTTTGGCCATCCAGACTGGGAGAAGACACATGAAGCATCGTCTCACACATCTTCTGTGGTTTTGTCCCTTGTAGAAGGAGGTGCCACTTGTGTTGGGAAAACTATTGTGGATGAACTGGCATACAGGTACTTGCCGTTACGAACTATTTTCATGAACAGCAGTCTTTGGATTTACGACACTGTTGGAAATTAGGGAATGGAGGGAAAGGGAAGAGAGGGGGTGAGTTGGAGGGGAATGGTTACTTAGTAGTAATTTTTTTAATGCTAAGACAAAATTGACCTTATTTTGACATTTTATTTAACTCATAAATGATGTAATAGTAAAATGACATTACACGTTATCATTCCATTCCCTTTCCACTCAACCAAACAAAGTTTCTAACATACCCCTCTCCTCCTGCCTGTCCCTCTTATTTTTTTAAGCTATCCAAACAAGGGAAACCAACCCTCTCCTTTCTACACTTTACTTTACCCTCCCTTCCCTTAGTGGTTCCCAAGATTGTTCATCCATATTTACTAAAGACGAAAATCTCTCTTGGTTTAGCCATAGTAGTCATCAAACATGATTTAGTCTTTTGGTTGTTAAGATTTGCATGATTCTAGCTGCTTTTGGCATGTTTGATTTTCAGCATCCATGGAGAGAATAAACACTATAGCACACCAACCAATCCTTCTGCACCAGCATGCATTCCAGGTGGATCTTCTAGTGGAGCAGCTGTTGCTGTTGCTGCTAATTTTGTGGACTTCTCTTTAGGTCAGTTTTGTGCTACCTTTCTGACTGATTAGCTTTCTCAGTTTCTGCGAGTTGCATTGTTGGTCCTGGTATATATATAAGATATGACCTTTTGGGGAAATGTTAATATTATTAATCAGTTGCTGTAGACAATTGAGCTTATTCTGTCTCATCTTAAGAATGAATATTCCCTGAGTAATAGTTTGAAAAAGTTAATCTTATTCACTAAAATCTCTGTAGTTTAATTTAATTGTAATATTTTAGGAAGTGCTGCGACACTCTAGTTATCTCAATTAGTGGTATTTGGGATATCTAATTTTTCTATTGAATGGAAGTTTGATTTTCATAATGTGACTTTGATCAAACATGATGAGATCTTCTTGATCCTGTTTGATATTATATTCTAGAAAATCCTTCATAATTTTGGCTCTAATTTTTCACATAATATTCTATGAGTAGGTATTGATACTCTTGGTGGTGTGAGGGTACCTGCAGCTTTTTGTGGTGTTATTGGATTCCGACCCTCATATGGTGTTGTTTCTCACACTGGAATTATACCTGTTTCATCAAGTCTCGACACTGTAGGTGTGTATGAAGAAATATCAAGTTGTATGTTGTCTTATGGCACATGGGAACATGCAGTCATATAATTATGTGTCAAACAAATTGGTTGTTATTTGATTCAAGTTTCCTAGTTTTTTTCCTTGTATGACAGAAGCTTTGTAACATGCTCTAATTGTTTGCCCATGTTTTGATGTAGTTATAGAATAAAAACAACAGCATTTTTGTTTGCTTTCTATTATTTTCATCATAATTTAGTGAGAAAAAGAAGATATTTTTGAATCTACAGCTGCTTGTTTAAATTGGTCTTGTCTTAAACTAATTTTATGTTGGGGCTAGCCCTATTAGCTCTCTTGATTTTTGAAAGTTTAGTTTGGTCATGGTTGTCTATTCAAAGCAGCTTCTAAGTTGAATTTTCGCCATATTATTTTCTATTTTTGTTGAATTTTCCCTTTACCCTGGTTTTATTCTCTATCTGATTCTACAAGCAATCTGGTTATAGTTTTTCTTGTTTGTTGGTCCAGTTATATAAAATTATTGGTAGATAAACATTGAGTAATAACCTGTGCTGATATAGAAAAGCACCATGAGGTAGTTCTGGCTGATAAACTTGGTGCCAATCTCTCTCTTATTATGTCTGTTATCTATATATGTTTGTGTGTCTCTGTGTGTATCTATATATACATATATATGTATATATTATGTTTTATATATTTATTTTTAATTATTTTAATAAAAATAATACTATATACAAGTAATTGTAGTATATAAAAATTTTTAATAATGAACTCTGATCATTATCTTCTTTCTTTTTTTTTTTCTTTTCTTTAGATAAGTTTCGGTAAAAATGATTTTCATTTGAAGTTTTCTAACTATTTATTTTTTTCACACTAGTTTAAGTTTTAAAAGTTTGAACTTATTAAGCTATAGAATAACTACTGATTAATAAAAATAAAATAAAATAAATGTAATTCAACCAAAATTCAAAATAAGTATAATATAGTCTTCACAAAAGTTGCATGCCTCTTAAGTCAATTAAAAACTTGCATGTAGATACAGACACGAATATATTTCAATATTGCATAAATTTGATAAGGTTAAATACACATTTGATACTTGAACTAAAGTTAAATTGTCAATATGGTACCTAAAGTTTAAAAATTTGCAATTAGGAACTTTGCTTCTGTCTATTAATTTGCAAATGAGACTAACATCATTAGTCAAATGGGTGACATGTCCAAAACATCCAATAAAGTTGCAACATGTGGCATGTTTTTATTGGATGTTTTTGGACATGTCGTCCATTTGATAAAGGTGTTAGTCCTGCAAGCAAACTGATGGATGGAAGCAAAGTTTAAACATAGTTGTGAATTTGATTATAGTTTTTAAACTTTGTTCCAAATCAAGAATTTGATTATAGTTTGGGTACCAAAGGTGCAATTAACCCTATTTGATACATTTGGTCGAATAATTTTGGTGCATTGGGGATAAAAAACTTGAGAAACCTTCACGGATTTAAAGTTTTATCGATGAATGTTCCATTCATAAGCTACATTCATATTGATGTATGATTTGAACAAAATGCTTTGCATGTCCTTTTTCTTCTGTCTTATGTTTAACCAGTGCAAAGCATTTACCGTGCATTGTACTCTGCTTCTAAAAGATTCTAGCATGGTGTGGTTTTAAATTTAGTTATACATTATGAAGTTGAATTTAGCCTTGCAGCACATAAAATATTGGGTAATGATAATAACTTATGATTATGTATATCAATCAGTCATTTTCTGATCAGGCATTGTATTTGCTTTTGCACTTTTATTCTCTTTATATATTAATTTTCATGTTTCTGCTAGATTTGTGATTTTTTTAGGCAGAATCTTGTCGTTATTCTATTGTGCACTTATTAAACTTGATTGTATTTGACTTGTGAAACTACTATGGCAGGATTATTTGCTAAGGATCCCAACATTCTACGTCGAGTTGGCCCTGTGCTCTTGCAACTTCCATTTTTGGTTCAACGCAATCCTAGGAAAATTCTATTAGCTGATGATTGTTTTCAACTGCTAAAGATTCCCATGGACAGAGTTTCACAAGTGGTGATTAATTCCACTGAGAAGCATTTTGGAAGTATGTTCTTGTCTATATGCCTTGTGGCAATAAGCTTTTATGTAAATGAATTTGTTCTGATTTGTTTTTTAGAGTTGTGTTGAAATTGCTAACTTTTCTACTTACTTAAGGACAACTATTGAAGCATGAAAATCTTGAGAACTACTTCAGTTCTAAGGTCCCAAGCTTGAAGGAGTTTTATAGCGAGAAAATAAATTGCGGTTCAAAGATTTCATCCATAAGTTTGCTTGCAAATGTTGCACAGTTTCTTCAAAGGTGAGGTTTCATCTTAATGATGTGTACGCATGTTATCATTTGATGCCATTACATATGATGAAGTGCGTTTTTCTCCCTTAATTTCTTTTGTAAATGTGCAAATCTTTATTTATTTATTTTTTGTTTTAAAGCTTTCATGGTTTATAATTCTTTGCTCTTTGTAGTTTGATTTTTGGAACACCTTATCTGTTTTGATGTAGGACAAGTAGGGAGAAGAGACAGAATGTAGAAATTTAGGGAGAAAACTCAGAAATAGACAAACAATTAGAGAGAAACTGAGAAATCAGGGACAAACCGAAAAACTTAGCTATGTTTGGATAGATATTAGTAAAAGAAAGGAAAGGAAAATGAGGTTTTCTAAAGGAAAGGAAAAGAATACATATGCCCCTTGTTTAGATAGGTAAAATTAATAAATTAAAAGAATCATTACAACCATTGTTTGGTTAAAGAGTGAAAAGGAAAGGAAAGGATTTATTATAATATTTTTTTCAATTATTTCTTTTTTAAATAAAATTATTTTTTATATATTAAAAAATCTAAAAAATATATTTTTTTCAAAATTAGAAACTAAAAGTAACATTTAGTTGATATATATAATTATCATGTCCAATATTTTGAGTAATAAATAAATATACATATTTTATTAAGATATATAAGAGAAAATTGTTTATAACTTGTCCCCTTGGTTACACATGTCCCATTATATCCTCACATTGTCCTGTTTTCCTTTTCCCATGACATCAACCTAGCAAACCATTTTCATTTTACCCCACCTCTGCAATAATATCTTATCTATACAATCTTGAAGCTTCTATAGTTTTTTCTTTTTATGTGTAGAACCTTTCTTTTCTCATGTGAACCATGTAACACCCATGTGATTTTGCTTTGAATTGTTTGTGGTTTTTAATTGTTTTTTTTTTATGGTGGTTTTCAACTGTTGTGTTACTGGACTAGCTAGTGAGTTGAAGATAATAGAAGCAAAAGAGTTTAATGAAAAAAAACCTCATAAGTTTACCATTTTATTTTTTAAATGTGTTAATATATAGTCTTTTTGTATGCGGTAATTATGGATGCATGACGGATGTAATCAGCACCTTTGCTTTTTCTTGGCCACAGTATATTTTTCACTAGTCTTGGCCATGGTATTGGCTCTCTTTTTATTCATCAAATATTCATGATGACTTGCCAATGTTCAAACAGATTGGAAAATCTCATCCATCATTATATGTTGGGTTTTTCTTAGTGACGATGCTCCAGAAAAAAAGTTTTTATATGGAGTTGTCATAGGGTTTGCAGAAATAATTGAGGGTTTTATGGACATTTCAATGTCTTTTTTTTTTTTGCTTTTTTCCTTTCTCTTCCTTTTCCTCCAATTTGGAGAAATTGAAAAATAGAGCTTTTGAGGGAAACCAAGGGATGTTAAGTTCCCCTCCATTTCACTTTTTTTATTTTATTGGTTATCCAAACAACCCTGTTTCCCCACCTTTCCTTGCCCTTCATTCCATTCAATCCAAACATGGGCTTAGGGAGAAAACCAGAGAGAATCAATAGGAAGGAAAATCTTAATATCACAACAACTCCAATATTCAATATCCAATACCTAAATGAAACTAAAATAACTTAAGTATTTATAACTAAACCCAAAACCCTAATAAACTGTAAAATTCCAATACTAACCCCAAAGCCTTATTATTTGGAAAATAACTCAAAACACTTTATAAAATGACCTAAATAATTTAAGATAACTCACAAATATATGTAAAGATTTCACTCAAACACATAAAATATAAAATAAAGTCCTAGATAGTGTAATACCTCAACTAAAATATTTGCATTCTTCATTCTCTCTTGGTTGGAAAAACTCAACCTCGATATTTTAAGAATCAAAGCTGAAGAAATTTCCAACATGATCCATTAATATCAGCATCAAATCTGAACTTCATTAGCGGGACAAATATCTTCTACAAAACAACTTGCGCCTCATTTTAAGCACACTGGGAATGACAAAGTCGATTTAAGAACTAGCATTCACAATAATAGACTTTATATCAACAATCGTAAAGATCAGGTCAAGAAGTAAATGATCTTCATCAGGTAGCTTAACTTCTTCAATTGCTTGGACAACCAACAACAACCTCTAAATTTGTAGATTGAATGTTCTCATTTTCCACATTTGCAACTTTAAGCAAATCACCTCGCAATAACTCAACACCTTCTTCCTCATGCATTTTATCTCTTAAACTTTCTTAAGCTATATTTTTCTTTAAGGTTCTCAAAAGTAGGGGTTGTCCTCACAATTGTAACATCTTCAATATGTTTATGCTTAGCAAGATTTTTTTTTATTTCCTTTGATTCATCGTGACACTTATTGAATGTATCTTTTATATTGATCATTCCATCTTTTACTTCCATCAATTTATCATATATAAATTGTGAATTCCAGTCTTCAAGTATTTTCTTACTATGAAGGATATAATCTTTAATATCATTATATTCATAAGATTGAAGAATGTAAAATTTCAAAGCCATTTCTATCTCTCAAAGCAGTCAAATCTTGTAAATGCAAAGTAGTCGTATAAATATCATCTTTTGCTCCAAATTATCCATATTCAACTCAAAACAAAGATTTTGGGTCCATAATTCCATTGGACCCACAGTTTGGTGTGAATGTATCTCTTTTTGGGTCCGATCGCACCACACTTGGTGTTTGGATCACCATGGGGCAGTGTGGTTGGTGCTTATCAATTGCACTACACCAATGGTTTGGGATTGGACCCTTAGGTGTATACTCAGATTTTCCAAACCCACAGCAACACTTATTTCCAAAAATGCTCATACTTCAGATTTTTGGCCCTTGAGGCTGCAGGGACGAAAATGCTGCAGCTAATTAAACCTTTTCCTTATCCATTCTTTTCTTTTTTTAAAAAATTTTTTATTTAAAAAATTTCAAATAACTATATTAATTTAATATAATAAATAAATTTATATAATTATCTAATAAATAATTAATGACTAACTAAAAATTGAATAGATAATAAATTATATAATCAAATAAATTATTAAATAATTGAATAAATCTTTTAGTCATTTTCAATTATTTATTAACAAAGTTATTATTTGAAATCAAAATAATTTTAGTAATTTTCAATTTATTAAAAAAGTATTATTTGATATATAAATGATTTTAATACATTTTAATATTTTTATTAACATCATAAATGTCAAATAAACTATAATTTGCATTATATACAAGTTTTACTCTAATATTCTTAATTGTCATTTTCACTTCTCATTACATTTCAACTCACAACCACCGTTGTTTTTGTTATCTAAATATATATCTCATTACTAATTTTAATTTCATCACTACGACTGTTTTTAGTCTCATCACCTATCCAAATGGACCTTAATAAATTGACCAATTAAAGTCTGACCTTTAGAGGATGAAACTTGGAAATATACCTCAAAACTGGAATCAGGACATTGAAATTATTAAAGAACGAGGTTCTGGAAAATTTGCTGACATGGCGGTCTATGCTGTCATGGCAGTCAAAGCTGATGTGGTGTAGGTAATTGATGATGTGTCAGATGATGTCAGCAAGATGACGAAGCAAATTGGAGCATGGAAGTGTAAGGCGTGTGACCAGACTCAGCTTCTGCTGAGTGTGTGGTGGCATCTAAAGACGAGACCTCATTGGTTAGATGAACTTAAACTGGTGATCTAAGCTGCTTACCTGAAGTCGGAAAACCACTGATCTAACGTTGAGGTTACTTTTATTTTTTATTCTTTTACAGACAAATGGTAGGGTGAACATTGGTGAAACTTTCTGGGATTACCAACCAATGGCTGGCAAAGGTTGGAGAGTGGACTGCTGGATGACAGTGAACAGAATTTTTTTTCCATTTGTCTTTTTAAATAACAGAACTGATCTATTTTTTCTTTTTCCAAAACAAAAGAGGCTGATTTTTTTTTCTGGGGTAAACAAAAATAGGATAGACAGATAGCAAAGGCTCAATCTTGAGCTCTGAAACTAATTGATGTAGGACACAAGTAGGAGAAGAGATTGAATATAGAAATTTAGGGAGAAACTTAGACAGATGAGAACAATTAGAGAGAAACTGAGGAAATTGGGGGAGAAATGGAAGAAAATATGGAGAAATGAGAGATAATCAATAGAGAGGAAAATCTTAATATCACGATAACTCCAATATTCAATATTTAAAATCTAATTGAAACTAATATATCATAAGTATTTGTGTAAACTGAATGTATATTGAAAAACTGCTTATCTACAATTATACAAGAATCTTAGGTTTATATACAACTAACTAGGGGTTAAACTAGGAAACTAAATCTTCCTTAATTCTAGGGATACAAATACTTAATTCTAGAGATACAAATATAAATATACAGATTACAAGATTACAACCAGTTGTAAATAAGTGTTTTCCCACTCTCCCCCTCAAGCTGGTGAATAGGTGTTTTCCATTCTCAGCTTGGAAATAATTTCTTGAAATGTTGCACTGCTGAGACCTTTAGTCAATACATCTGCAAGTTGACCCTTGGTTGATACATAAGGTGTACAAATCAACCCACTGTCTAGTTTCTCCTTTATGAAATGCCGGTCTACTTCAATGTGTTTTGTTCTGTCATGTTGCACAGGATTGTGTGCAATGCTTATTGCAGACTTGTTATCATAGTAGAGTCTCATTGGTCCATCCCACTTGATCTTCAAGTCTTCTAGGATAATCTTTAACCATAGTAGTTCACAAATTCCTTGAGCCATTGCTCTGAACTTTGCTTCAGCACTTGATCTTGCCACCACATTCTGTTTTTTACTCCTCCAAGTCACAAGATTACCACCTAAGAAAATACAGTAGCCTGAGGTAGATCTTCTATCAGTTACTGAACCTGCATAATCAGCATCTGTATATGCTTCTAGAACTAACCCCGAATCTCTTTTGAATAAGATACCTCTCCTAAGATTGGCCTTCAAATAGTGCAATATACGGTAGACAGCCTGTAGGTGCACTTCTTTAGGACTATGCATAAATTGACTTACCACACTCACAGCATATGCTATATCAGGTCTAGTATGTGAGAGATAAATGAGTCTTCCAACTAATCTTTGTTACATCTCTCTATTTACAGCAACATCTTCATTAGCTTCTCCAATTTTATGATTAGAATCTATATGGGTATTTGCAGGTTTACATGCAAGCTTCCTAGTTTCCTTCAGAAGATCCATCACATATTTTTGTTGTGAGATAAAAATACCATGCCGTGAGTGAGCTACTTCAATTCTTAGGAAGTACTTCAATCTCCCAAGCTCTTTTATCTCAAATTCTCTAGCCAAACACTGTTTTAGAGATTCTCTCTCTTTTTCATCATCTCCAGTTACAATTATATCATCAACATACACTAATAGAACTGTGACTCCCTGAATCAGAGTGCTTGATAAACAATGTGTGATCTCTTTGACTCTGTTTATATCCCATTGCTAGCATCACTTTGGCAAATCTCCCGAACCAAGCTCTAGGAGACTATTTAAGGCCATATAAAGCCTTTTTTAGCTTGCATATTTTGTTTGCTTCTAGATGACCTCTAAATCCTGGTTGAACCTTCATATATATTTCTTCTTCCAAATCACCATGTAAAAAAAGCATTCTTTACATCAAATTGTTGAAGCTGCCAATTGTAATTTGCAGCCAATGATAATAAAATCCTAACTGTATTTATCTTGGCAACTGGAGCAAAGTTTCCTGGTAATCCACTCCATAGGTCTGAGTGTAGCCCTTAGCCACTAACCTGGCTTTATGCCTTTCAACAGTACCATCTACCTTGTATTTTACAGTGAAAACCTATTTACACCCCACTGGATTTTTTCCTTTAGGCAACTCTACTAGTTCCCATATCTGATTTTTCTCTAAGGCCTCCATTTCTATTTTCATGACTTCGCTCCATTTCTCACTGGATAATGCCTCGGATAATGTAGCTGGAACAGAAATAGTGTTTAGGCTCACAAGAAAATTTTTGTGGGATGGTGAGAATTTTTCAAATGACACAAAATTAGATATTGGGTATAGTGGATGCTTGGTACATTCTCTTGTTCCTTTCCTAATAGCAATAGACAAATCATAATCACTAGTTATAGTTTTAGGAGATTCATGCTCATTTTGAGAAACAGAATCAAAAACTGTAGTTACCTCATTTCTAGAGTTAGGATCAGGTTCTTGGACTGGCACTGGTTCAGGATCTGGAACTTTCCTTCTTGAGTACACCTGTAATTCCTTCATAGAATCAAGAACAATATTATCCTTTGTCACATCTTCCATATTTGGAATGGGTTCAGACTCAAATTCAATGTTTGACTTGGGCTTAGCAAAAACAGGTTTCGACTCATAAGAATTAATGAGTGTAAATGTTGAAGAAGGGGGCAAATCAAGCAAAAAGAAGTCTTTATCCTTATCTTCCATGAATGAAGTCTCCCCCTGAAGATAAGGTTGAGTAAAAAATGGTTTATTTTCTTCAAAAGTGACATCTGCAGACACATAAAATTTTTTGGTAGGAGGATGATAGCACTTATATCCTTTTTGAGTTGAAGAATACCCCACAAAAATACACTTAATCGCTCTTGGATCCAACTTTCTCCTGTTATGACTGTGAACATGAACAAATGATGTACAATCAAATATCCTAGGTGTGAGATTGTTTGTGGTATTGAGGTTGGGATAAAATTGTGAGAGTAGTTCCATAGGAGTTTTAAATCCCAAAACTCTTGAAGGTAACCTATTTATAATGTGTGTGGCAGTGAGAACAACTTCCCCCCAATAAGATTTAGGTACATTTGCTTGAAAAAGAAAGGCTTGGGTTGTGGTTAATAAATGGCTGTTTTTTCTCTCTGCCACTCCATTTTGCTGTGGAGTATTAACACAAGATGACTCATGGATAATCCCTTTGTTTTGGAAATAGGTGGATAGACTCTGGTTGAAGTAGTCTCTTGCATTATCAGACCTAAATCTCTTGATTCTTACTCCAAATTGATTTTGGATCATGTTTTGGAAGCTTAAAACCACACTGTTCACATCTGATTTGGATTTAAGTAAAAAAACCCAAGAGACCCTAGTACAATCATCTATGAATGAAACAAACCATCTCGCACCAGAAATATTAGGAATTGTAGAGGGACCCCAAATGTCACTATGAATCAAGTAAAAGGGAGTAGAACTTCTTTTGTTACTGATTGGAAAAGACACACGTTTATGTTTTGCAAATTCGCAAATATTCCAATGAAAATCTTCAACATTTAATTCTTTGAACAAAGAAGGAAACATGTTTCTCAAGGTTCCAAAAGAAGGATGTCTAAAAGGAAAATGATAAAGCCAAATTTTGTCTTTATTGGAAGATTTTTCAGAAAGAAATGACAAAGGTAAACTATTTTTGATACTACTTGTGTTATTTGATGTCTCAAGATAGTATAGTCCATCTTTCTCCTTAGCAAGTCCAATCATCTTCCCCGAACTCTGGTCCTGAAATTCACAATAAGAGGGATAAAAAGTTACTTTGCAATTCATATCTCTGGTAAGTTTTTGTATAGATATCAGATTAGTAGACAATCCAGGAACATGAAGAACATTTTTGAGAACAAACGACGGATTAACTTGAACATCGCCTAATCCTGTCACTGTGGTAAGTGAACCATCAGCAACAACAATTTTCTTATTACTAGGACACAGGTTATATGTACTAAACTTTTGTGGGGAATGTGTCATGTGGTCTGTGGCTCCTGAGTCAATGACCCAAGAACTCGTAATAGGCTTAGCCGAGACATTTAATCCATGAGAACCGGAAGCTTTACCTGAACTAGAAACTTTACCCAAAGAACATACCATAGTAGGCTTTTCAAGGATTTTCAATAAGTTTCTTAGCTTTTCAATCTCTTTCCTGTTGAACACTCCTTGTTTCTGAGACATCTGTAGTACTCCAGTGATTTTTTCAGTTAACATTTCCTCAAATTGGGTGATAGTGATATCTTTCTTTGAAAAGGTTTGGCAATGAAGGCCTAAACAGGATTCGGCAATGAAGGCCTAAAAAAGTCAGCAATGAAGGTTGAAAATTTTTCTTCCCAAGAAGAGCCTAAAGCTCTGATACCATGTGGAAACTGAATGTATATTGAAAAACTGCTTATCTACAATTATACAAGAATCTTAGGTTTATATACAACTAACTAGGGGTTAAACTAGGAAACTAAATCTTCCTTAATTCTAGGGATACAAATACTTAATTCTAGAGATACAAATATAAATATACAGATTACAAGATTACAACCAGCTGTAAATAAGTGTTTTCCCACAGTATTTATAATTAAACCCAATACCCTAATAAATGGCAAAATACTGGTATTAATACAAAAGCCCTAATATTTGGAAAATAACTCATTGTGGCTTAAACCATCAATTTATGAAACATTCATTTTGGTGTGGGAAGATTATCCTTATTGAAGGATTAAACATTTAGATTGTGTTATTAATTTTATACATTTTTCTAGGTTCAGCTGTAATTTCTATTATTTAGGAATTATTAGGACATTTAGCATTTATAGTATTTCATTTTTGCAAATTATGGTTAAGGGTGCAAGATACAGTTAGTTGTATTATTTTAATTTTATCAGTTAAAGATTATGAATTTGCAGTACAAAAGTATTAGTATTTCATATTTATAACATTCATATATGTATTTTATTATTTATTATATCTTTCTACATGTTAGGCTGTAACTTCTAGTATCTAGACAATTTTAGTACATTTGGGGTTTATGTGTTATTTTGTATTTGCATTGAGGATTGCGCTGTAGCTTATAAGTACTTATTTTAGTTTCTATCTGCTTTGGATTTTGGATTATTGTCTGTAAAAAAAGAAAAAGATTGCCCATTACTGAAATTTGAGTATTTGGAGTGGATTTTCTTTTCTTTTCGTTTATTTGTTTGTTCTTATATCTTTGTAATATCTCTCCTTTATATCTTATGTTCCCCCAGTCTTCATCACTTTTCCCTTAACCATAACCTTGCATCATCAGACATCAACTAAACATTACCCTGAGCATGCATATCTTCCTTTTTTGTTAGTTTTGCAGAAAAGTTTTCTGTAATACCATACCCTTTTTTTCAATTTAACAATATAAATGCGACAATGAAATCCTATTCAATTTGATGTGCAAGTTGGGAATCTGGAGTGGTGAGAAAGTTCTCGTTGAAAATGTCTTCTTCTGTGCTCTGATAAACTGTTGAATATTGTAAGTGCATGATATCCATTGATGCTGTAACTGACCTACCAGATAGTTCTAGTTTAACACCATAGGGGCCATTGCCTTGAGTGAGATTTTTCTGTACTCTTTCTTACTGCAGATATGAGTTTAAATGTGTGCATGAAGAATGGATTAAATCAGAAAAGCCTGGTCTTGATTCTGCTGTCTCTGCACAAATAAATGAAACACTGGATATGACAGATAGGGAGATTGAAATCTGCAAATCGATTAGAAATGAGATGGGTTTGGCAGTCGATTCTCTTTTGAAGGTGAGGAGTTTTCTTAGATCTTTTGTGTTGGAGATATATTGTGAGATTAACAATTCATTTCCTGGTTATTCTTAAAAATGCAACTTATCTTGCATGTAAGTTCAATTCAACTTAATTAATCCTTTCTGGAATGCAGTTGAAAGATGGTTGCCCCATCTAACCTCCTAGTTCATACACAACTCACACCCAATTACATATACATATGAATTTGTGGTGTGCGTCAATCTCAGGTGTAGTATTAATTTTAATCATGTAATTGTTCATCTAGGTTGCAACTAAGCTTTAACTAGACCAGATCTCTAGTCTGGTTTGTCCTTTATGAACTTGAACTGTATGTTTGTACTCTTCAAATCAATAAGTTAATTTCTGATAAGGACTTACAACATAGTCCTTCATGTTTGTCCTATGTTGCATTCATTACAAAACATGGTGTAGCAGATAGAGCCAAAATTTACTCCTCAGCTATGGGGATGAGGAACGAAAAGGAAGGGGAGTGAGAAGACCAGGTTACTATTTTAGTATGTTTGAAGACATGGCTGACAATTCTAGTGTGCTCCTGGTTTTTGTTTATAATCTTTACTCATCTCATGATTTCTAGATGTGTTCTTATTTTCTTTTGATCCGTGTTTCAAAACTGTATAATTTCTTTTGTTAGTTTGGCAAACTGGAGAAGCAGAATTTTCTTGTAAACTATTTGTTTGTCCTTTTCAAACTTGGTTTCTTATATTCGTCCTTTAAAGACAATAAAAGGCAATATTATGGGCAAATTTATCACTCAACATTGTTTGAGAACCTTTGCATTAACAATAAACTCAATAGTTGTTAATGATGTTTGTGATTGCTTTTCTTTGACTTTTTAATTTATGATTCACAACTACATTTATAGGCTTATATGTTGCATTATTATACATATATTTTCCACTTTTTTTTTCCTCTAGGTAGATGGCTTGCACGTCACTGCTACAAGGTGCACCTGCACTTCTCTTATTGTAGTGTTGCATCACTTTGGTTCTATTGGACTCCTTTATTTGAGGGTTCTTGTTTTATATGTATTTGGTTCAGGATGATGGAATTCTGGTGATTCCTACCACTGCTTATCTCCCTCCTAAACTTGGTAGCAAGGAAGTCTTCTCGGAGGACTACCAGAACTGTATGTTTAGTCTTTTGAGTATTGCTAGCATGTCTGGTTGCTGTCAGGTGAAATTCTCTCATATTGATGTGTGCTAATATGTATTGTTGTAGAAGAAAAGTTTTTTTTTATGAATATAAAATTATTTGTACTTCATTAATGATTCAGGTCACACTACCACTTGGATATCATGATAAGTGCCCTGTTTCAGTGTCCTTCATAGCCAGACGTGGGGGTGATCGCTTTTTACTGGATACAGTGCAGACTATGTATTCGTCTCTGCAAGAGTATGCTGATACTATCTCTAAGTCTAAATTATTGCGTAAGGCTGTCAACCAGGAACACTCCGCTGATGTTGCCAAAGAAAAGGTCAGTGTCATTTTTCTTGCCTTAAAACTTGCCAAATTTTTATCCTCTTGTAGTTAATATGAGTCGTAATTTATCAATAAGGTCAACTTTTTTTTTGGCCAATCATCAATAAGGCCAATGTGGAATGTCTTGGTTGGTGAATTCTTATCATAGTTGGGGTTCTTTGATCATGATTAAAAGACAGTTTACTGTTTCTTTGTCCGAATTAATATTATTATATGCTCTATTTATCAAAACAATATGCCCCTTTGCATGTTCATGTTCATTTTTATATGACTGATAAATAAGTTGATGTGCCATGGTTTGTTGTAGGGATGAAGGAACCAGGTAGAGGGAAAAGGGGATAGAAAGAGAGAAATAGATGGAAAGTTAGATGTTAGAAAAGAAAAAGAACAAAGGAAGAAAGAGAGAAGCACGAATATTTTGGACAAAATCCAATTCCAATAATGTAATATCTCAGTAAACCATCATCCAAGGTTATTGAAACTGAAAACAATAAAAGTACTTATGTGGTACTCCTAAACCTAGCTCATGGTAAACAAGCAAAGGCAGATTAAGATAAAGATCCGAGAATAATAATTGAATAAAATAAACCCTAAGTAATTTATTTTTTCTTTTTGATGCCCTGCATCATTCTCCCATTGTTGTAGAAAAGCGGACCTCAAGTTTTGAAATGGTGAAGCAAAACTTTCCCTTGATATTCTTGATTAACATGAGAAATAGAAGCTCTGGCTATATTTTCTGATTTTAGGTTGATGTTGATTGTAATTTTTCTACTTCTTGAGGTATGATGACTGACTAGGAGGCTCTAGCCAAGGAATGGGATTGTTGTATATGGAATCTATTTGATATCCAAATTGTATCCAAAACATTCCATTTGTGGAAAAAGAGAGTAGTAGGTTGTCTAATAAAACTCCTGCCCTTAAGTAGTTGATACATCAAAGAAGTTTTACCTGGATTAAAAGGACAAAAAGTAGATTCATGGAGCTTTAATTAGCGAATCACTTCTGAAGATCTGATTCTAGGATGTTTCAGGAAGGGTCTAATTGAGTTTTATACATATATTTATTCAAATTTTTCCGCAGTTGTTGGAATGCTGTATTTAGCCTTTTGAACCTCTTCCTCTCTCAACTATATATTACCTATTTCATCCACATCTTCTATATAAACTTGCCTGCCTCTTGTTTTGAAGCATATTTGAGGAACAAGATCATGATCCTGAAGTCATACTCTTGTAATTGTTGCTTGTACACATAGTACGTTTTGAAGCAATTATGGTATAAATGTCTTTTAGGATCACCTTACTAGTAAAATATTGAAGGATTAAAAATTCTGAGAACCATAACTATTTTACAAGGAAAGCAACTCTTTGAAACACAAATAGTCTTTCTTCTAAGTTCTCAATTGGGACACATGATAATACATTTTAAAACCTCAAAATCGATGTTTCGTCACACTAAAATTGGAAAATCCGAATTTTAGTCGATGAATATGTCAAAATGGAAAAATGGAATCTGCACAGCCAAACTAGTGGGAAGGGATCTCTGGTCAACTTGATCTGGGCAAATTATGACTAAAGTGTGGTGGCATGTTTGTCTGATAAGGTGACCAAACTTTGCTGTCCAGAAGGTCATGAGCTGGCCAGCCAAATAATGCTGTCAGATTTCCAATTGGATCAGTTGAGAGTGGAGAGCTAGGCTTTGGCAGTGCAACTTTTCCTCTCTTATTTTCTTTTCCTCCTTTGGAAATGGATCTGGATTTCTTAAATTTTAAAGGGTGGTTCCAGAAAGAGGTATTTGCAGGTTGTTGGTTTGCTTGGGAAGGATGACTTGTGTTTTACCTGAAGATTTTTCTAGGAACAAAGATTCAAAATTTTGTAAGCTGCGTTTTGATGCTCATATATGAAATTTCATGTGGTACTGTGTGAAGGAAATAAGAGAGGAATCATGATATCCAAATAGAGAGAGAAAGCTAGGTGAAGAAAGAATCAGTTAGAGGAAAGGGTGCAGACAAAGGAGAGAAACAGTTAGAGGAAAGGGAGCAAAGGAGAGAAACAATCCAAAAGTAATTACTAGTAATAAACAATTTTGATACATGAAATTTACTAGTTAGCCCCTAAAACTGAACAAATGAATTAATAGAACCCTAGATAATATAGTTCTTCAATTATCATCTTTATTTTCTGCTTCATTATTTCTTTATAATTTATTGCTTTAGGATCATCAAACAAGATTTTCGAAGGGTAAAATTGAATAGTCTAACTGCTACGTACAGCTTCTTTTAAAACTTGAGACCTAGGATAAAAGAAGTCAGGAGAAAAAGAGTCTCACTCAGCATTCATTTAGCACTTGAACCCTTTTGAGATGGGTGTTGAATTTTCTGTATGTTGGAATTTACTAGATTATCATATGTATAACATAGAAACTTTTCTTCTAGTTTGTTTTTGGCTTGGAATGAGTTTGGAGTACCCGATTGTCATTTTTCAGTTACTACCCTCTCATGAGTCATTATTTATACTCAACGTTATAACATCAACCAATGGGAATATTATGATTCACTAATTCTTCAATCTTCTAATTTATCATGTTAAAGTGTGAATATTGGTTGGTGCTTTCCTTAATACTGTTGTCAATTGTTTAACTTGAGTGTTAATATCATGAGATTTTAGATTAAAATCTTATCAATTATTGAATATGTTTAATAACTCTTCTCGAAACCATCATGGTTGTAGAGAATTTGAGGGCAGTTGCAGGTCACTTTGTCAAGTCAAATTAGTGTTCATGTACTTCTACTTGTTAAATATCTTGTTTGTTATCATTTGATGAATCAATTTGAAAAACTAGATAGAACACTGGAGTGATACTGTATAGGATGACACATTATAGAAGCAAGTAATTACTTGGTTGGGCTGTTAAGAGTAAGTTGCTCTGAAAAGTAGCTGTAGTCATAGGAATTGGATCACTGTGCTTACCATTAAAGTGCTAACTTTTGAAAAGGAACAGAGAATATCGTGTTTTTTTAGTTAAAATTTTCTTTATGTTTGCTTATTTGCCCCCTTGGTGAGCTTATTCACTAAGGCTTGGGAAATGTCTTCTATTGTGCATGATTTGAAATATGACTATCCGTGTGAGGTTACTTAGAGCATAGTGTATGGTATCATATAGTTAGCAGTTTTACACAAATTTTTTGGTTTGCACATTTTCTTCTTTAACATAAATAAATTTCTTTTGTTTGCAAATTCAATGATTCAGGGCAACCAAGCGTACAAAGACAAACAATGGCAGAAGGCTATTGGGTTTTATACTGAAGCTATCAAGCTTAGCGGCAATAATGCAACATATTATGGTAACAGGGCTGCAGCATACCTGGAACTAGGAAGGTAATATTTTACTCTTAAGAATTGACTCCTTCCATATAGGTTTTTTGGTACTTTCTTGAAACTTTTTTTTTTTTTGTTTTCATTCAGTTTCCTCCAAGCAGAGGCAGATTGTACCAAAGCTATTAACCTTGATAAAAAGGTAATTTCTTTCCTGAAAGATAATGATTTGGATTGTATAATTGTTGTTTTATAATTCTTCCTTTATGGCTCTTTTTATGCCTTTGATTATTTTGGCATAAGATTGAACTTTTACTTCAAAATCATAATTTCTATCTTGATTCCTGATATATGTTTCAACAATTGTCTTTCTTCACAACTTTATGAGTTCCATTGCTTTTCTAATGATATGATGTGATTTAATCCATGCTAAGTATTTGGTTGCTTGTTGTTTTTGCTACTTGCTTTTTGCCTAAAAGCAGATAAGGAAAAAGTATAAACTTTAATTTTGAGTTAGTAAAAGTTTTAAAAATTTTACTTTCATGGATAAAAATCTGCATTTATTTAGAATTCATATGAAATAATTTTTTTTTTAAAATTTTCATATGAATAAAATAATTAATATGAATCGTTTTTATTTTTTAATCATGTGCTTCTTCTAATAAAGTGTTCCCTACATTTCAAATTAACTTTCCATTTTACTATTTTAGCATGTTTCACAATACTGTCCACTTCCCAGAAGTAGGAAACATTTTCCCAATGTCCTATATTAACGTACTAACCAATTTATAAACTATTGGTTCTTTTCAAACAAATTACAACATTTAGGTGGTCCAGCCCCTAGATTTTATGGAACTTAAAGGGTAAAATTGTAATGGATAAAATGCCTCATATGTAAAACTTTGTGTCATTTACAAAGTGTACAATCAATTTGAAATGGAGGGAGATTGACCTTGATTTTTTATTACTTTTGAAGTGAAAATTAAGTAGTAAAATTGTTGTAATAGAGCCTAAATCTTTTTTGTGAGGTGTTTGTTGTTGTTTGCATTTAAAATTTCTCTATATTTTCTTCAGAAAGGAATAAAAAGAGTGTGCTATTAATCATTTGGATCCTTTTTATATGAGTTTGGTTTGATGTGAAGAGGCTAGCTAAATAACAAACTAGTTGGCATGGATTATCATGAAACAAAAATTTGGAATTGCTTTTATCTGTTAATTTTGAGGCAATTATTGAAATTATCTCTTGACAAAAGGGTGAAGTATTCAAGAGCATGCATATGAAAATAAGTTGTTCTTGTGAATTGTTTGGTTTAAAGTAGACAGACAGTACTATTTTTTTTTTGAAGCAAGCAGCAAATATCTATATTTTTCCATTCATTCAGGTCCTAATTATACTTTAGATTTCATTTCTTTGATCCATTGACTATGGCTGTTGCTTGTTAGTGAATGCATTAGGATTGCATGATGCTTGAGTTTATTGGAGAGTTTTCTTGTTCTAATTTATTATGGTTATTATTATTATTATTATTATTATTATTATTTACAAATAGTCAATAAAGTGGTGAAATATGTTGGGTGTGTTGTGTGATCGCAACAATGCCTTTAAAGTTAAAGTTATATAAAAACAACTATAAGGCCTACATTGCTATATGGAAATAAGTGTTGGGCTATTAAGAAACAACATAAGAAAATGAGTGTAATTGAGATGAGGATGCTTGGATGTGGTAAAACTAAAAGACAAAATTTGATATGAAGAGATTCGAGGAAAATTAGGGGTAGTTCGAATTGAGAAAAAGATGAGAAGGCAGTTTGAGATGATTTGGACATGTGAAACATAGGTTTATTTGTACACTAGTTAGGAGGAATGAGTTTTTGGATTTAGGATAGACCAAAACTTTTATAGGTAGGCCACGAAAAACGTAGATACAACTAATAAAAAAATGATATGATTGTTAAAGAAATAGATAAAAAAGTTGTTTTGACAGAAATAAATGACATAAGAAGATTCATAATTATGACCTAACATGTTCCCTTTTTTGGCATTTCATACAGCTAACTTCGGAATTATGGGATATAAAGTTAGTTTTTTGTTGTTGTACATATAGTTAGTAAGGCTCACTTATTGCCTCCCCTGCCCTTATTTTTAGTAGCTAAATGTAAAATTTCTTTTTTTGCGTTTTCATTGTTATAATATTGTTTCCTGTTATGTTTCTCAGAATGTAAAGGCATATTTAAGGAGAGGCACTGCACGAGAAATGCTCGGTTACTATAAAGAAGCGATTGAAGGTGAGTTCTTACTAGGTGTTTTTTAAGTATTTTGTATTGTTATTATGAAAAAATTAAGAAATAAAACTGTATGAAAAACTAAAAGTAAAATTAAATGTATATTGAAAAACTACTTATAAAGAATTATACAAATACCATAGGTTTATATATAACTAACTAGTGAGTAAACTAAAAAATTAAATCTTTTTAAAAACTGATCCTGTAATTGAGGAATTGTTTGTCCTAATTTTTTGTCCTTAATTTTAAGGATACAAATACTTAATTCTAGGGATACAAATATAAATATATAGATTATAAGATTACAATCAACTGTAAATAAGTGTTTTTTTACACTCCCCCTCAAGTTGGTGAATAAGTGTTTTTCATTCCTAGCTTGAAAATAATTTCTTGAAATGTTGCACTATTTAGACTTTTAGTCAATATATCTGCAAGTTGATCCTTGGTTAATACATACGGTGTACAAATCAACTCACTATCTAGTTTTTTCTTTATGAAATGTCGGTTTACTTCAATGTGTTTTGTTTTGTCATGTTGGACAAGATTGTGTGCAATGCTTATTGCAGATTTGTTATTACAGTAGAATCTCATTGGTTTATCCTACTTGATCTTCAAGTCTTGTAGGATAATCTTTAATCGTAGTAGTTTACAAATTTCTTGAGCCATTGCTATGAACTTTGCTTTAGCACTTGATCTTGTCATCATATTCTGTTTTTTACTCATCTAAATCACAAGATTACCACTTAAGAAAGTGCAATAGCCTGAGGTGGATCTTTTATAAGTTACTGAATTTGCATAAGCAACATTTGTATATGCTTCTAGAACCAGTCTCAAATTTTTTTTGAATAGGATACTTCTCTCAAGATTAGCTTTCAAATAGTGCAATATATGGTAGATAGCCTATAGGTGCATTTTTGTAAGACTATGTATAAATTATCACATTCACAGCATATGTTTTATCAAGTCTAGTATGTAAGAGATAAATGAGTTTCAATTAATCTTTGGTACATCATTCTATTTACAAAATCTTCATTAGGTTCTTCAAGTTTATGTTTATGATTTATAGGTGTATTTGTAGGTTTACATGTGAGCTTCCTAGTTTCTTTCAGAAGATCCATTACATATTTTTGTTATGAGATGAAAATATCATGCCGTGAGTGAGCCATTTCAATTCTAGAAAGTACATCAATCTCTCTAGCTTTTTTATCTCAATTCTCTAGTCAAATACTGTTTTAGAGATTCTCTTTTTTTCATGATCTCCAGTTACAATTATATTATCAATATACACTAGTAGAACTGTGACTCCCTAATCAGAGTGTTTGATAAACAATGTGTGATCTCCTTGATTCTACTTATATTCCATTGCTAACATCACATTGACAAATCTTCTGAATCGAGCCTTAGGAGATTGTATAAGGCCATGCAAAGCCTTTTTCAGCTTGCATACTTTGCTTCTAGATAACCTCTAAATCTCGGTGGAACTTTCATAGATATTTCTTCTTCAATATCACTATGTAGAAAAGCATTCTTTACATCATATTGTTGAAGCTTCCAATTGTAATTTGCAACTGATGATAACAAAATTGTAATTGTATTCATTTTGGCAACTGGAGTAAAAGTTTCATGATAATCCATTTCATAAGTTTGAGTATAGCTTTTAGCTATTAACCTGGCTTTATATCTTTAAATAGTGCCATCCGCATTGTATTTTACAGTGAAAACTCATTTACACTCAATTGAATTTTTTCTTTTAGGCAACTCTACTGGTTACCATGTTTTATTTTTTTTCTAAGGTCTCTATTTCTATTTTCATAGCTTGCCTCTATTTCTTATTGGATAATGTCTCAGATAATGTAGTTGGAATAGAAATAGTGCTTAGGCTCGTAAGCAAATTTTTGTGGGATGGAAAAATTTTTTAAATAACACAAAATTAGAGATTGAGTATAGTGGATGTTTAGTACATTCTCTGCTTCTTTTCCTAATAGCAATAGGCATATTATAATCACTAGTTATAGTTTTAGGAGATTCATGTTCATTTTAAAAAACAAAGTCAAAAATTGTAGTTACCTCATTTTTAAAGTTAGGATTAGGTTTTTGGACTAGCACTAACTAGTTCAGGATATGAAATTTTCCTTTTTGAGTACACTTGTAGTTCTTTTATAGAATCAAGAACAATATTATCCTTTATAACATTTTTTGTGTTTGGAATGGGTTCAAACTCAAATTCAGTATTTGACTTGTACTCAGAAGAAACATGTTTCGACGCAGAAGAATTAATGGGTGAAAATGTTAAACAGGAAGACAAATCAAGTAAAAAAAAGTCTTTATTCGCATCTTTCATGAATGAAATCTCTCCTTCAAGATAAGGTTGAGTAAAAAATGATTTACTTTCTTCAAAAGTGATATTTGTAGGCACAAAATTTTTGGGTAAGAGGATGATAACACTTATACCCTTTTTGAGTTGATGATTATCCCATAAAAATTCACTTAATTGATCTAGGTTTCAACTTTTCCTTATTGTGACTGCAAATATGAACAAATGATATACAATCAAATATCTTAGGTGTGAGGTTGTTTGTGGTATTAAAATTAAGATAGAATTGTGAAAGTAGTTCGATAAGAGTTTTAAATCTCAAAACCTTTGAAAGTAATCTATTTATAATATATGTGGCAGTGATAACAGCTTCTCCCTAGTAAGATTTGAGTACGTTTGTTTGAAAAAGTAAAGTTTAGATTGTGGCTAGTAAATGACTGTTTTTCCTTTCTGTTACTCCATTTTGCTATAGAGTATTAACACAAGATGACTAATGGATAATTTTTTTTTTTGAAACTCTTGCATTATCAGATTTAAATCTCTTGATTTTCATTTCAAATTAATTCTAAATCATGTTTTGGAAGCTTAAAAACATACTATTCGCATTTGATTTGGATTTAAGTGAAAATATCCAAGAGACCCTTGTACAATTATCTATGAAAAAAACAAATCATTTTGTACCCAAAATATTAAGAGTGGTAGATGGACCTTATATATCACTATGAATCAAGTAAAAAGGAGTAGAATTTTTATTGTTAGCTGAAAAAAAGACACGTCTATGCTTTGCAAGTTCACAAACATCACAATGAAAATTTTTGGTGTTTAATCTTTTGAGCAAAGAAAGAAACAAGTTTTTCAAAGTTCCAAAAGAAAGATGTCCAAGAGAAAAATGATAAAGTCGGATTTTGTTTTTATTGAGAGATTTTTCAAAAAGAAATGACAAATGTAAGCTATTTTTTATGTTACTTGTGTTTAATGTCTCAAGATAGTATAGTCTATCATTTTTTTTAGCAAATCCAATCTTTTTCCCCAAACTTTGATATTGAAATTCACAATAAGAGGAATAAAAAATTATTTTACAATTTGTCTCTGATAAATTTTTGTATAGATATCAGATTAGTAGACAATTTAAGAACATAAAAAATATTTTTAAAAACAAATGATGGATTAATTTGAATTTTTTTAATCTTGTCACTGTAGTAAGTGAAGTATCTGTAAAAACAAATTTTTTATTACTAGGACACTAGGACATAAGGTATATGTACTAAACTTTTGTGAGGAATGTGTCATATGGTCTGTGATTTTTGATTCAATGACCTAAGAACGCTTATTATTCAATGAGCCAAGAACGCGTAATAGGCTTAATTGAGACATTGAATTCATGAGAACTAGAAGTTTTACCTGAACTAGAGATCATATCTAAGGAACATACCTTAGTAGGTTTTTCAAGGGTTTTTAATAGGCTTTTCAGCTTCTCAATCTCTTTTTTATACAACTCTTTGTTTTCGAGACATTTGTAATATTTCAGTGATTTTTTCAATTAACACTTTCTCAAATTGAGTGGTAGTGATATCTTTTTTTGAACTGAAATAAGTCTTAAGATATAATAAAAAATGATTCTTAGCAATGAAGGTTAAATAAGGGAAAAATAAAAGGGCTATGAAGGCCTTAATAGGGTTCAGTAATGAAGGCTTAAAATAGAAGTCAACAATGAAGATTGAAAATTTTACTTCTCAAGAAGAGCTTAAAGCTTTGATACCATGTAAAAAAATTAAAAAATAAATCTATATGAAAAACTACTCATAAGGAATTATATAAGCACTTTAGGTTTATATACAACTAATTAGTGGGTAAATTGAGAAACTAAATCTTCCTAAAAATTGATCATATAATTAAATGATTGTCTATCCTAATTTTTTATCTTTAATTTTAGGGATACAAATACTTAATTCTAGGGATATAAATATAAATATAGAGGTTACAAGATTATAATTAGTTGTAAATAAGTATTTTCTCACAGCTTCTGTATATAAGCTGCTAGCGAAATTTGTCGGAATGATGATTGATTAGTGCTCATGCCCTATGTGGATTGTTTGTGTTGAGACAATTTTGTAGAAGGGAAACAATTTGATATTCTTTGCCTTGGCAGATGAAATTTATTTACTTGGTGAGGAATAAAATATAACATGCTTATACTTTTGGGTGAAAGAGGAAAGTCGTACGAGTCAAAGACAAAGTATTGAATTTTAGAAAGGTGTTATTTGCACTCTAATTTACTCTTTTCACACTCTACTTTTATTAATCGTAGTTATTAATTTTATTTCGGTATCGATTGGTATCATATGGTACGTTTTAGTTATATCAAAATACGGTATACCTAAAGATGATTTTTCGTATCGAATTTGGTATCGGGTAATTTCGATTGTTTCGATTAGTTTCTACCTGTTTCGGTGAATTTCGATGAAATAGCATGTCGCGGTTGGTACATGAGTGTGAAATATATTTTGTAATTTTTAATTTATCTTTTGTTATTTAATTATTTTTAATTTAATAAAAATAAAATTAATTGACAAAATAATTTTTTATTTTTTATTTTAACTTTTTTTTTATACTTTATTTTTTCAAATTAAAATTTATAAGGATTTTAGTTTTTTCAAGAAAACAATTATATTTCTTTTATAAAGTTTAATAATTATAAAGTTTTGATTAATTTTTTTCATGTCTTTGTTTTTTTTTTTTAATATTTATATGAAAAAAATATTTATTTAAATATCATATGATTAGATTAAATGTTTAAAAATATAATGAAAAATTTATGATGTTATTTTTTATATTTTAAAACTTATTTATTTGATTTGATTATATTGCATATTTATTTTGTGACTACTAATAATATTATAATGTGTAAGTTTATGCATGTTTGTAAATATAGTTGTATTAAACTGAAAAATTCAAAATAATGTACTGAAACAACGGGTATCGATATATGCCATATTTTTTAAAGAAATCGAAATGTTGTCCAATATTATATTAACAATCTTGCTATTAACATCCAATTTTTTACTCAATACATTCCAAACACAACATAAATTTACCACAACTCCAAACACCCCATCTCCTTCCACCTTATCTATTTTTTCTTCCCAACCGAAAATCTAAAGGATTTCAAGCTTCAATTAAGCCAAATTTCAATAAAATTTCACCCATTTGAAGTTGGAAATCATTGAATCAAAGGCAAATCATTTGTTTTTCTTACTTTTTCGTTTGATTTTGTGTTTAGTTTCTTAAGAATTCATGTTGAAATATTTAGGTGCGATTCAAAACTTATGAAAATGGATTTATGGAAATTCTTAAAGGTTTTCAAAAATGGATATTCGGAAGCTTTTAAATTTAAGGATTTCCAGAAGTTTTTAAAAGCTTTCGGACATTCACTTTTGGAAACGTTTAATGGAGTGTGAAAGATAAAAAGATAATTGACTAATGAATATTTAAGTAATTTCATTAAAGGTTAAATTTTTGGGATGTATTGAGAGGAAGTTGAGGTGCAAATAGCAGCATTCAACTTTAGATGACAACATAATGCTTGTATTCAAGTTTTATCCTTGTTTCTATAGAAAAATTTCAAAATTTAATGCCTCTTTCAGAGTTGGGTGGATAGAAATAGATTTCTGTTGCAATAATGGCACTTTTGCAAATGCAGATTTTAGGTATGCCCTGGTGCTTGAGCCAACCAATAAAAGAGCAGCCCTGTCTGCTGAGAGATTAAGGAAGTTGTTTCAGTAGGCGTTTGGAAGATAAATCAAATTCCAAGTGAACTCACTGTTGCAGAATTAGTTCATATATTTGAAGTCTTCATTGATTTTGTGGCATCGATCAAGGACCCTAATTGGATGGAGATTTTTCATGCAAACTCAGATGGTCGCTGGACGAGTTTTGAGATATGCTTGATTACGCCAAAGTCTCCTCGTTATTAAGGTCTGGAGAGATGTTATTTGATCTCTGTCACTTCGTCTGCAGCATTACTTAATTTATTAGTCAGAATTTTTGTAGGTATAGCCCAATTTTGTTTCTTATAATTATTTTTGCATTCTTAATTCTCGTGTAATACTAGGGCTGGGATTGGGGGTGAGGTTGACACAATCATCCCGGTTAAGAATGGCTTCTATACATTTCTAGCCTTTAATTTTTTGTTTCATATAAAGCTGTTGGGCCTGTTTTTGGATTTTGAGAAACTTGTTTGTCAAGTGCCTTTTTGGGCCAGATTTGCTGCAAAATGTGAAAGTAGAATGAATTCAAAAAATAATTACCGATATATACAACAATCGCAAAGTTTACTCGTCAACACTTGCTAAATCGTAAAAGTATGGATATATAAAGCGACTTTTTGGGTCAGGGCTTACGTTCTTCCTCTCGGTATTAGATCCCAGGGTATTGTTACACGCATTGGCATGAAGGTGGGACGGGGACGGTCATTTGCTATGGATGGCAGCCTGTGTAGGAGAAGTTGTGTTGAAATTGATTCGTTGAGAAGGGATGTTATGCATGATGGTGACAATGGGAAAAGAGAGGTATGGGGAGCCTTGCTATGGAAGTATCCCCACGTAAGTGTGGTTTATTGGGCCACAGTGAGGTAGATTTTAACAAGAAATGATAGCACTAGTCCAGAAATGAAATATGGTGATTAGTTATGTCGTGCTTGAAAAAAGGAGGCTTCAATGCTGTGGGTCGGATAACATAGCTTTCCCTTTTTTTTTTCTTTTGAGAATATGAGGTTATTATGATTTAAATTCTGATTACCGGAGTTCAAAGTTTAGTGCTCTAATATAAATCGACTGATAACTGGGTAGCATGGCTTCAATCGGTGTTCTCAAAAGACAAAAGAACCAAAATAGGGCTGTTGTGGAAGCTGGGATAAAAAGTTGCCGGAGTTTGGAAAGTAGAGACGTGAAACAAGGTGATTACGATCGAGGAGAGTCAACCGATGTTGATCTCGTAAGGCAATTACGTGTTGAGGCTGGCAAAGGAAATTCTGGCGTCGATAAGGGATTGAAGGAGATTTTAATTGAGCATACATCAAGGGGAAAGATACAAAAGAAGGGAATGATAGAGTTTTGAAAACGAGCAAAGGGCGGGAACATAACTCTATTTTAAAAATATTGTCAGACGTGGCTAAAACATATTTGATGTGTTAAAGCGCCATCAGAATAATTTAAGAAATGTTTAAAATACATTTGAATAGATAATGAAATTGATTTTGATGAGATCAAAAATAATGAATTTAATTATTGTAATGATAAAATTAAGTATTATAATTATGAGATTAAAATTAGTAGTAAAATATATGTTTAGATATAAACAATGAAATTAAGTATAGTAAAAAAATAAAATGTTCATTAAAAATATAAATTAAAATTTATCTGAAAAAAATGAAATTATTTAATATTTATAAAATTAATAAATAATTTAAAATATCAAATTATTTATATAAATAACAAATAATGAGAGAATAAAAATAAATAATTTGAAAATATTTAAATAAAAATAAAAATAAATTACCAAATAGAAAGGTCAACAATATAAATTTATTTATCATTTAAATAATTAAAAAAATAACAACATTAAAAAAAAAAAACATGAGAAGAAGGGCCAAAAAGGTGAAGAGGTGCAGTGCATTTGCTTTGCTCACTGCACCTTTTTCCTTTAGTAAAAAATTGATACTCCAATGCAATTGAAGACTGTACTGCATGTTATTCAAATAGCATGAAATGGTGTGATTGAAAAAAAATGCGTTAAATCATGCTACACTGGTGCGTTAGTGAAATCCAATGGGGCTCTTAGAGCTCGTTTAGACGAGCGATTAACATTGTCGAGGCACAATTTTTCTCAAATTTTGTGTCAAATTACATTAGTTTATTGTGTGAATAATAATGGTGAGAGACGATGGACTCTGGTCATTTGCCAGAGAAAAAGTTCCTGCAAAAAACTATCCCTTCCCATCATAGTACACATTCCAATTTTAGTCACGATATATTTTTTTCTTATTTTATCCTTAAAGTTATAATTATTTTAATGTGAATTAACTTTTTATTTTTTCCATGTTATTTTCTATTTAAAAAAAGTTAAATAACTTTATTGATTTAATATAATAAATAATTTATATTATATAATAAAATTTTTTTTATTTTTATTTTTTTATTTTCAAAAATAAAATAAAATAAAAATAAAATAATGATAAAAATAGAATAGATAAAATAGACATAAAAGAAAACTTAAAGGCATAAAATAAATCAATAAATTGACCAAACATCTAATCTGGCTATAAAACCTAGACCAAGTTTAATTAGCCTATTAATGGATAGAAAATCTAATAATAATCTAGGTCTCGAAATAAAAAATATGTTAAAAGACCTGAATAAAATGGGATGTTTACAACTGCTTCTCTTTATGCATTTTTTAGAAAATTAGAATTATACAAAGATATGATAAAATAAAAATTCAGAGATTTTCAATTGAAACAAAGATTCAAAATTAGAAATTCAAACATTTGCAATTGAAAATTAAAAAATTCACAATTTGAAATTTAAAGATTCCTAATTTTAAGTTCAAAAGTTTTCAATTTGAAATTTAATATTCTCAATTTGAAATTTAAATATTCGTAAATTATTCAAAGGTTCGCCAAAAATTGAAAGATTCGCTAAAGATTCGAAAATTCATAAAAGATTTGAAAATTCTTGTTAGCTTTATAAGTGAGATGGTGATTCAAGAGGGGAGTGAATTGAATTTTTTCAAATTCTTTCCAAATAATGATTTCAAAGTAATTAAATGAAAATTAAAAAATAACATCAAAATATGATGCAAATAACAACAAATTGATAATCTTAAACCAAATGCAAGGCAAAGGACAAGGATAGAGAAATTAAACACAAAGATTTATAAATGTTTGATCTTTCTCCACAAGGCACCTATGTCATCTCTTCTTGATTGTCCATTTCAAGGCTTCAATCCACTAATCTTGAATTGAAATTACAACCCTATCTTTTTCTTTCTAAGGCTTAAAATAAAAACCATACACACTCTACTTTCTATTATACACTCTACTTTCTAGGCTTAGTAGCAACCTCTTGATTTCATAAATTCAAAAGGATACCTCACCTCTTGATTATAAAATCACTTAGTAAAAATATAAACTAAAAACACCTTTCAAAGGCTAAGTGTTTGCCTAATGAAGTACAAAGAAATTTGATGAATGAACAACAACAATGATTTGGATACAACAAATACAAAGATATAGACTTTAAAGCTCTAAAACTCTTGATTTCCTTGACAGAATGAATATATGACTTGTTTGATCTTGCTCTGTTGATTCATCAACCTTCTTGGTATGTTCGAGTGGCCAATATATAGAAAAATTAAAGAGCTAGCTATTGGGGATGCTTAGAAAAAGAAAATAGCTATTGAAAGCATTAGAAACTACCCGTTGGAGTTGTTCCAAGGCATGAGGGGATTGATTGGTTCACTTTTGAAAGCCAATTACGCCTTGCAAATAACATTATCCAATTGATCCCTTTATGTAGGGGATTGATTGGTTCAAGGGGGTGATTGATCCCCTACATAGGGTGATCAATCTCTTCTTCAACTAGGAGCACAATGCTGCTCTCTGGGTAAAAATACAATCATTCCCTTCCCTGAGGGGATCGATCATATCCATGGCTGGGTGGTTGTATACTATTTTGCACTCTATTCACTAATTTGATCATATCTTGAGTTATACAAATCCAAATCACAAACTGTTTAAAGACTTAGAAACTAGACTTTAAATAGCTTTTCTATCCATATAAAATTCATCACTTAATTCATTATGTACAAATTATAGTGAATTTTCAAAGCTACCCCTTGTGGAGTTTGTAGACAATTGCAAAGTATCTAGTAAAAGTTCAAAATCCTTTCTTACAAAATTTAGATTTAGATTTTGTTTGATTCATTAGAAAGTAGACTTAAAGAGCTTTTCAACCATATAAAATTCAAATATTAAAACTTTGTGAGTTAATACAAAAAAATAAAACAAATTTAATTTTAGAAAACTTTGTTCTTATAAAACAACTTTCTTAAGTTAATCTATTTCTCAAAACCAATATTATTAAAATTGTATTAAGTTCATAATGAATAAATTCACTTTAAAAACAACAATTGGACTTTCATTTAAGCTTAAATAAATAATCTTTAAAGATATATTTGGTTTGAGAAATATGAAACCAAGAAAAGTTTGTTTAAACTTTGAAACTCATATTATTTATTTAGTACTAAAATATAAAACTTAAGAACATGTACTAAATAAATCTTTTTCAAAATCTTGATCAAGCTTATTTAGCTTAATGTTTTGTCATTTCAAAATAAGGATCAATTCAAGGCTAACAATATCTCCCTTTTTGATATGACAAAACTTAAAGATAAATTTGCTTAATAAAAAAGAACTTTCTTTAAGACATTTAAGATTTTGGAAAACATTTTGAAAAACTCCCCTTTAAATAATGCAAGGCAAAACTCTCCCTCAATTAATGCATCTTAATCCAACTCAACTCCACAAACATATATTATTCAAATATATAAAATAAGAATAATAAAACATATGTATGTCAAGCCCAAGCAAATTTGTTCATATGATATTTCTCTCCCTTTTGTCATAGCAAAAAGGCATGAGCATATTGATGAGCAAATAAACATAAAGAGGCATCATTAACAAATATATTCATGAAACATTTCTTCTTATTTTTGTTTATGCTCTTTATACCAAGTGTTTAAGCTCCTATATCAATTGCTATAAGCATACAAGAAGAAATATCTCTAAACTCTCTCTCCCTTTTTTATCATTTCAAAAGAAAAAGAGATCAATTCAAAGTATGAGACAAAATGCATGATACCAATAACATCAAGAGTTTTTTCGAATGCATGTAATCAAGTGTAATATGCATAATGAAGTTCACATACATGTATTCAAGTACAAAAGTATAAGTGTATCCAATTAAAATATTATAGCACAAAATCATTCCTTCAACCTAACCACATGAAATTTATGAGCAAAAGGATAATAAATGATATGCAACCCACTCATAAATCATGTAATCATAAGATGTGCTTAGAACCTAAAACATCAATAGCAATTAAGCATAAATTCAAGCACATTCATACAAGCTTATGCCAATTGTTAAGGATACCAATTGTTAAAGATATGTTATCAAGAAGAATACCAATGTTTATCATAAAATAAATCAAGCAAAATTGTATTCAAAGATTTCTCCTCATTTAAAAAAATGATTAATCAATTTAAGGCACACACAATTTTGCATGAAAGGTAGAAGCAATATCAAAGATAGGCACATAAACAAATGTATATGAAAGTTAAAAAAAAAATAATCTTTAGCAGTTTTGATACCAATTGTTACCAATTGTTAGCAATTTTATTCAACAACTTTCATAAAGCACACAAACTTCAAGCATATGAAAGATTCAGTCAATAGATGCATAAATGATAATAGTAATCTTTCATAAGTTATCCTATCCAAACAAGAACAAAAAACTTATATGTATTTAATAAAGCATGAATACTAATGAGCAATAAGGTTCAATCATCATATCCTAACAAAGATTATATAAGCATGATTTTTTAAACATGATGAGCACATATGCTATAGCAAAGAAATAATGAAAGCATAATTAGTCAAATATATTTCAAATTATTTCAATGTATAGCAATGTACTTAACTCAAACATATGCAAGTATTCAATCATATATTTCAATTAAAATCATACAAGCATATGCAAAAACATTTCAAATTATATATAGCAATATACCAAAAAAAATGCAAACCTTTAGACATAATATGGTACGTACTATCTCAATAGACTTAATCAATGAACATGTATAAAGAAATCAATCAATTTAACTCATATCCATGTTCACGGATTCATGCATTGATCAAATATTCATGCATTAAAATTATCAATCTCATCAAAGCAATTAAGAACTAGGCATGAATATCAAAGAAAGTGAGTTAATTAATCCAAGTTTTTAAAAAATATTAGAACAATATCTATCAAGTGGCTTGGTGAT